CTCTGGTGTTGTCCCTGCAGGGGCATGGGTCAGTGAGGGGCATCATGTCTCATAGTGGGGCTGGCCATGTGGTCCTCTCTGTGGGGTCATCGTCCTCAAGGCCTGGTGGGCCAGGATGTGTTCCAGCCCCGCCCCCCTCCATCTGCTCCTGTGTGCTCTGGTCAGATACATCCTCCTGGAGCTGTGGATTCAGTGCCATCTTTTGAAATAACTTCTTCTCGGGGGAGGGGCCTAAATTTGTTTTTAAAGAGGGATCAATTTGTATAGTGGAGCTCCTATATTACCCTATTCCTGTATGCAAAAAGCACATGTTAAATAACTATACTTATCACCTAAGATGTAGTACCATTATCTTTAGAAAAATTAAGGTTACCGTATATCCTTGTGTATAAGTGAGTTTTTCAGCACATTTTTAATGCAGTTTTTGTGGTAAAATTAGGTGCCTCAGCTGATATTTGGGTCAGCTTATCCTCAAGTATATATGGTAATATATGTTCAGAAGCAATTACAACTACTGATGAGAATCAAGAAGGCAGAATGGTAAAAAGATGATATTCAAACGTTGTTACTTATTAGCTTAAGTATAAGATTAAAAATTTCAAAATACAGAAGGGGAACTCACTTCAACCCAACCAAGTAACCCAGTTCCTTGATTTTCTCCATGCTAGGAAAGTAAATCACGCAACAATTTCAGGTACCTTCTAAGGGGCAGGTGCTGTGCTTAAAAAAAAAAAAAGGATTCCTGACCTGTAAGTGTTATTCAATTGTAAGCACTTTGCTGCAACAGTTTTGCTGAAAAAAATATCACTTGGACAAGTGTTTGAGTCACTGGCTCAGCACACACACAGAATGTTACTCATATATATTCCTTAAATGTTTATAATCTTAATCACAGAAAACTGTTAAAATATCATTATTTCAGTATTCTCTGAATTGATCCTGAATGAATAACTACAAGAAAACAGACTACTGCACCCTATATCCTTTTTCTATGAGTGTTACTAATGTGGAGCTTCAGAAAGTTTGAGGGAAAATGGAATGAAAAGATAATGGAATGTTCCCACAAACTTTTTGAATCTCTCACAGCATGTATCCGTCCTACCCCAAGGAGAAGTACTGTATACAGATGCAATTTATAAAAGACAATTTGTAATCTGTGAGTCTAAACTTATTGGCAAAGTCGATGAAGTAATGCAACATCTGTCAATTTCCTGAAGCATACAGGCCAGGATCACAGAGATCCCTCACAGGCAGTCAGTTCTGGGTGTAAAGAGCACATCTCAGCAATCCAGACAGAGCGAGCTCTCCTCCTTCCTCACCCAGCAGTGCTATCACATGACCCAGTGACAGCGCAGGATAGGATTAGTCAGGCTGGTGAGCACTGTGACTAAAACCCTTCATCTGAGACTGCTTAACCAATATGCCACCCAGACAGGCACTGTGACCATTAACCACGCAGGTGCAGCCTCACCACCCCCAGTAAAGAAACAAGGTGGTTTTCTTTTTGCTTGCTTGTTTTTAAAAAGAAGTCTAGTTCCAGGGCTCTTCCTTAGGTTTCGAAGGAAGCTATGAAGAGGTGTGATGCTAGACCCTTCAACTAATCAGGAAGCATTTCTAAGCTGCTGGCTGGTTTGTCCATTTAAGCCTGGAGGATTAAGGGAACCCCTCCCAATCGCAACATCACTGAACATGTGGAGTTACACAATGCGAACGAAGCTGTTTGATCTCTCCAAGCCTGTCTCTCATTCAACCTGAGGACTAAACGAAGAAAGGGGCCCAACACGAATTTGTAAACCTGACGGTTTAAAGTTCCGGCTGTGCTACTAGTTCAGGTGTCTGACACCTTGCAAGTGCTCTCTCTGGGAGCCCGAGGCTTCTCACCTGCAAACCGAGATGGTTGGGCTAGATGACCTGCAGGGTGCTTTCCAGATCTAGGGTTTTCCGATAGCTAGGTATCCTCCCAAGGGGCAGCCCCTCCACCCACCATGCAGTCACATCTGCTCCGGCTGCGGGCCAGACCACGTCAGCCACCGCACCGCCCGGTCCTCGCCCTCCCGGAGCCTCCCGGCAGGCCGGCCCGAGCTCCTCGCCAGAGGCAGAGGATGGGAAGGGGCGTTCCCTCGACCCCGACAAAAGCCAAACGAGGTCACGAGATCACGACTGGAGTGACCCGACGTGGCCCTCGGCGACAGGAAGCAAGTGCGTGTGCTAGAGCACGCTCAGCTTTGGGGAGTCGGAGCCGGTGGAGCCAGAGCCCACCGCCCTCAGGAAAATGACCGCGCCGGTGCTCCAGCCCTCGGCCCCCCGGTCACGGGAATGGGTGCATGCGCATCATTTTCTAGTGACACCTACGTGGGTCAGGGTCTGGGGGACGCCGCCGAGCCAAATAAACACCCGCCACCCCCCTCCGCGGCCCCTAGCAGGTGAGTGGGAGCAAAGGGACGGGGCTAAGTAGCAGCGACAGCATCCGTTCAGCTCGCTCATACTCACTGAGGCGAGGCTGGGAGAGGTAGTTCCGGCTAACTGCCAGCGCCTGCTCCCGAGCGCCCACCACGGGCCCACTAGGGGACACGCGAAGCTCGGGTGCGGCCCCGTTTACGATCCCCCGCATCGCCCGCAGCGCCATCTTGTCTCCTCGGTCCCGACTGGCCCCGCAGCAGCGTCGCGCAGGCGCAGATATAGCAGGGGCGGCCCGCGCACCCGGCTCCGCCCATGCGCGCTGCGGAGGCCTCGCTTGGTCCCGCCCACTTCTGGGCTCGCAGACTGCAGGCTCGTGACTCGGGCCCCAGTGGGCGGGGCCGAGCCTGCGCGCGCGCGCCCGGGAGCTGACCAGCGTGCTGGGAGCGAGGCCGCGGGGCCCGGGAGAGGGAGGGCGAAGCAAAGAGGGACCCTGAGAAAAGGCATGAGTTAAGAGAGAAAGAAGAAATGTTGAAATAGAAAGGCAAATAAAGGAAGGGAAGGGGAGGAAGGAAAGTGCAAGAGAAGGTCAAGGGATGTCCATTTCTAATGACATTTCCTGGTTCTCTTCTCCCTGTTTTTGCCCTCCAGCCCCATTTAATCTGCTGACATTTAGTTACGTGAAGAGTAAAATTTTTCTTACGTAAGGGGGCATTTTAGGACTTGGACCATATTAGGAACATTGCTCGGTTATTCACTGTGTGTGTTAGCTGCCTCCTGTTTCCATACCTTCAGCGTAAATGCTCACAGGCTTTTTCCACTGTCTCCCCGAAACAAGTGTTCTTGATACATGTTACATGGCGTTCAACAGAGGAAACCAACGTTATAAAGACCACTTTGCAAAACAGAGGAGCTGTAAAACCCATTTTAGTGACTATGTCACGGGACACTCAGCCATTGCGTCTGGGCCTTAGATTCACTTTACTGTCTTCCCACCCAGTTCAGAGATTCCTGTTAACGATTGATTCGGCAGGCATAGACCAGCCTTCCTAAGGTGTGGTCGAGTTCCTTCTTTGCGCAGATGGTTAATTGTGGGGGGATGGGCCAGCCTCCCACAACTAATCACGGGTTCGATAGGCGCAATTGTATGGTTGAGATATATAAATATTATATTAAAGTCATCGAGAGCATGAGAGATCGAAGAGAGAGAGAAATAATGGAGTCAGACACATTTCATAGTAGCATGCTCACCTCAGGCCCGTGGAGATAGGGGGAGGGGAAGGATGACAAGGGGAAAGGGAACCAGGGAGGGAGGACAGAAGAGGAGAGGGAGAGCCAAGGAGAGGCCAAGAGGGGCGCCCTAGAGAGCTCTTTATTGCTAATCCAGGCCCATATACCTTGGGGGGGGGGGCATACAAGCCCCCTAATTACAGGTAAAGACATACAGGAAGGGGTTTCACTATAGGTTATACAGCAATGAGAGGGGGACAATCTAGGGATATATGCGCAATAGGAAGAGGAGGGATTGGGGGTATACATGTGACAAGAAGGGCGGATCCTAGATTCAGATGGCAGCCTAATTTTAGATGTCACTGAACCGGTTTGACCTGTTCTCTGGATCTCCATAGAAAACATTATCAGTACAGTGTTTAAACTTCACCTACAGGAACCAAGGTAATGTTCGCAAGCTTTTAGGGAGAAGTAGCCCATTGTCCTTAACCGCAGGGAGCAGGGGCCTATCTGTGGGACCAGACAGTTGTCTGGCAACTGACTGCCTTCAGGGAGGATGTCTCTAAGCATCTGACCTCCCACCATATGCTGGCAAATAGTCTCTAATGATTGGCAAGTCTTTGGGAGAGACAAAGCTGGGGAAAAGTCTCTTTATAGTCCCACAGTTGATGCTCAACTGCTAATGGGAAGGTTGTTGGTTTGAGGCTACTCAGAGGTGTCTCAGAAGAGACTGACGATCTAATTCCAAAAAATCTGCTATTGAAAACCCTGTGGAGCACATTTCTACTTGAACACACATGAGATGGCCATGAGTAGTAAACAAGACAATGGCAACTGTGTGTGTGTGTGTTCCTAGTTCGTAGAGCACAGTTGTGAATGGACCACTAGCGATTCTGTCTACACAGAATCACCTCCGAAGTAAAAGGTGGCAATCTACTGCCAAAAAACTGTACTGCAGTCGTTGTCAGGTGGCTTCGAGTCAGTTCTGACTCAGAGACTCTATACAACCAGAAAAGACACTGCCCGGTCCTGCGCATCCTCACAATTGTTATGCTGGAGCCCATTGTTGCAGCCGCTGGGCCAATCCGTCTTTATGAAGGTCCACCTCTTTTTTAATGACCCTCCACTTTAACACTTGGTGAAGATGGTTTTTTCAACCACTATATATATATATATATATATATGTATATATATATATATATGTATACACACACCATATATAAATACACACACATACACACACACACCATATATATATATGCTGGACAATGTATAAGGAAGGCCAGAGAAGAAATGATTTCTTTGAATTATGGTGTTGGTGAAGAATATTGAATATACCAAGACTTCCAGAAGAACGCATAAATCTGTCTTCGAAGAAGTGCAGCCAGAATGCTCCTAAAAAAGGAGAATAGGGAGATTTCTATCCCATGGAGATCATGGTTATTAATGTGGAAGTTCAGAGGGAAAAAAATCTATTCTGACACATGAGATTGCCAAGAGTCAGAATCAACTGGATGAGAACTGGTATGTGTTCCTCCCTAAAAAATAAAATAAAATAAAGCTGACCTAGTGATGCCGTGGTTAAGTGCTTGACTGCTAACTGAAAAGTTCGCAGTTAGAGTTCACTGCTGCTTCTAGGGAGAACGATGTGACGTCTGCTTCGGTAAAGATGATTGCTTTGAAGGCCCTAAGGGGCAGTTTTACTCTGTCCTGTCAGGAGTCTTGGTGGCTTAGTGGCTAGGCACTGGGCTGCTAACCACAAGGTCAGCATTTTGAAACTACCAACAGCTGGAGAAAGAAGAGCCTTTCTCCTCCCTAAAGAGCTACAGTCTTGGAACCCCACAAGGCCAGTTCTACCCTGACTAATAAGGTGCCCGAATTGACTCCATTGTAGTGAGTTTTAAAAATAGGGACATTATGAGTCTACAACAAAAGGTTTTATGTAATGCTTATTGTTTAGCTCATTGAATGGCAGCAGATAAAATCTGGAAACAAAAGGCTGGATGGAGTCAGGTGGGAGAAGGGTGGAACTAAAAACAGCGTGGCCTCCGATGAGAAAAATCTCCACTTTCACCCTTTTCTCCATATTCCTAGAATCCCTTGTCTTGACTAAGGCAATCTCTCTCTCTCCATTTACTCTGGGGCATACATTAGTTGCTCTGCTCTTTTAAGAATAAGAAATTTATTTTTTTTCCAATTCTAAGAGTCCACTGAAGAAATTTGTAAAGTACAGAGGAATATAAAGAAACAGCAAAAATCATGTGTGGTCTTACTGTCCAGGGCAATCTCTGCTACTGTATCACAACATTTTCTTCCAGGTTGTTCTCTGACACTTAAAAAACATCATTTATATCACACTGTATATATAATTCTATATGGCATTTTAATGTAAATTAAAACATTAAGCCCCTGCATATTATTGAAACTATTTGAAATAATGCTTTCAACGTGCTACCTCTGGTTCCTCATTCTTCATTCACTTCATATTTTCTTTATTATCCCTCCACACACAGGGAACACATGGGCATTACCATTTTTGTGCTCTTCTGGATAAAATTCCAACCAAACCCATAGCCCTCAAGTCACTTCTAACTCATAGCAACAGAGTAGGAGTGCTCCCTAAGGTTCCCAAGGGCTGTGAACCTTTCTGGGAACAGACAGCCTGATCTTTCTTCTGGAGCTGCTGGTGGATTTGAACCACCAACTTTTAGGAGAGCAGCCTAACAGTTAAGCCACTTCTCTCTCTTTAAAAAAAAAAATCATTTTAGGGCTCACACAACTCTTATCACAATCCATACATACATCAATTGTGTAAAGCACATTTGTACATTCATTACCCTCATCATTCTCAAAATATTTGCTCTCCACTTAA